AGTGGTGCTAGCTGTGTGATTTAGGAAAACACTAAAACCACTGAACTGTGATTTTAAATGGGTAGATCTTACAATATGCAAATATCTGAGGTAAAACAAGCATAACCCCTAACAGTCTGTGCCTGGGCACAGCTAATAATTCACCTTAAAATCATAAAGTGGAAATTACAGCCTTTCTCCCAGCGACCTCAAGATTCTCCGTCTTCCAGTATTACCATCATTAAACATTTTCCTTTCAAAGAAGAAAATTCACATATTTTTGGTTTGTTTTGAGAGAGAGTCTCATTGTGAAGCCCTGGCTGGCTGGAAACTCACTATGCAGTGTCAGCAGACTTGGCTAGCCTTGAACTCACTGAGATCTACCTGCATTTGTGGGCGATTAGGACTAAAGGTGCACACCACCATGCTCACCTAGCTATTCACGTATCTTTAAGCTGGATTACACTGTATCACACCCTTCTATTTAACTGAAGATCATAACATCAGTATAAAACCTATTCACTAATCTGAAATATGCTTTGGATTTGCCTGAGACTTCCTTTGGCCATGTTTAAGAACTGTTTAACTATTTTGACTTTCCATATCGATTTATATCCAGGACATGAAACAAGTGATTTTTTTCTTTTCCTCTTTTCTACAGTTTTTCTTAAATGAATATACACATAATTTTTATTATGTGAGGTAAAAATTTTAATTTTCTAAGTTTTAAGATTCAAAATAAATAGCATCTTCCACTGGAAAGTTTTCACTTAGTCTCTAGAAAACTTAACTGCATGCTTTTATTCAACTCTTTTATTACATAATAATGAAGAGTTAAATAATAATTCCACCACCACCACCTCACAGACAGACACCTCACAGAGAACAGGGCACGGGAGCCTGTGTCTGTGGTCCTGGTATTCAGGGGACAGAATCAAGAGGATCACTTGAGCTCAGGTTTGTGACATCAACCTCAGCAACACAGCAAGAACTCAACTGCTTGCCTTGTGTGTGTGTGTGTGTGTGTGTGTGTGTGTGTGTGTGTGTGTGTGTAGGGGTGTTCACAGGTTTGGATAAAGGGTTATGGAGCCCAAGCTGACTTCAAACCCTGTAGGTAGCTGAGGGTAATCTTCAACTCCTAACCCTCCTGCCTTCACCTCAGTGCTGGGACAACAGACACACACCACTATGCTTGGCACGAGAATATCCATCTCTTTAAAAAAGATACCTAAACAGGGATAAAGTGATAACTCAGTGGTTAATCAAACTTGCTGCTCTTCCAGGGGACCCAAGATTGGTTTCCAGAATCCATGTCAGGTGTCTCACAATCATGTGTAACTCTAGTTCTAGGGGGATCTGATGCCTCTACCCTCTGAGGGCACCTGCATTCTTGTGCATATACCTACACATATACATAATAAAAATCAAAATGAAAAAGGTACTTGACAGAATCTGCTGTGTGCATATGGTTTGTATGTATCCACATAACGTTCCTGTGCAGGAAGCTTGGTCCCCGTGTGATGCTGAGGCAGTGGTCTAGAAAGGAATAACGACGGTCTCAAGATTGGTTCCTATGACAGGGCTGCTAAAACTTTATTTTTAAATTTTAAGAAGGAACCAGGACTCTCCCTGCCCCCATGGTCTCCTGCTTTCTTTCTTACCATGTGATTCTCCTTTTTTATGTTCCTACCGTAATGCCACCCCCTAATGTAATGGAGCCATGAGACCCTCGCTAGCAGATGTTACGGCCATGCTACTGGACGTCTAAGGCTGAGACTAAATAATCTTCTTTCCTTTTTTTTTTTTTTTTTTTTTTTGGTTTTTCGAGACAGGGTTTCTCTGTGTAACTTTGCGCCTTTCCTGGGACTCACTTGGTAGCCCAGGCTGGCCTCGAACTCACAGAGATCCACCTGGCTCTGCCTCCCGAGTGCTGGGGTTAAAGGCGTGCGCCACCACCGCCCGGCTCCTTCTTTCCTTTTTATATCACCCAGTATCCAGTATTTTGTTATCATTACAGAAAACATACTAATACAGAATTTTCTACACATGATAGGAAATAGACAAGCCAACTATTAAGGCCTCTCCAAACAGCCTCAATGTTCCTATTGTAATAGGTACCAACAAAACTTTAATAACACTATCCTCAAAATTGAGCCTATAGTACTTAGTGGGACTCTTATGAATTGATTAAATGAGAAATCTAAAGCTCTAAAGAGTTACAATTCATTCCATTTTTTTTTAAGTTTTAAGATTTCAAAGCATTTAGATTTCAGACTTCCAGGTTAGAGGTGCTCAGCATGTTTTATTTAATATTATTGTATAAAGGGAGATACTTTGGGGAAGGCAAATTATCATTGTGAATAAATTAGGAATCTCATTTTAAGTTATTACTGGCATTTCACAGGTCTGCCAGGTATATTTCTATGAGTAGCTTCATTTTTCACTCAGGATAGCTTGCATATTAGAGAAAATCAAACTTTTAGAGTCAGACGGAATCAAAAATCCAGGCTTACTAAACATTATGATTTGGGATAAGCTGGTTACATTTGTTTCCTTACTTAAAAAAAAAAAAAAAGAAAAGAAAAAAGATTTTTAGAAAATCAATGCCACCCAAAACACATGGTTAAATCTCACACATCATTCTGAATGTTTTTCCAACACCAATTTACCCCACAAAGCAACAGTGTATGTACTACTGTTATCCCACAAACAGAGCAATGTGTGGCTCAAACTCACATGTGCTGTTCTGTTGTTGTTGCTCATGGGGGGGGGGGGGTATGTTGTTCCCCCTGTGTAGCCTTGACCAGCCTGGAACTCACCTGTAGGACAGGCTGGCTATGGCCACCCTTCTGCCTCAGGTCTGCAGCACCACAATCTGCAGGCCACCACAACTCTTACTTTCTAGAGCAGTGATCCTTATCTGCACACAAATTCAAACAGAAGATCCAAGGGTTCACTCAACTAGTCTACCTAACTATAAACATAACTTTGGCTTATTCATTTTCTAAGGGAGTTCATACTGTTGATACGTTTTTTTTTTTTTTGAAGGTTGAGGAAGACAAAAAAAAAACCTAAAAACTACTTTATAAAGAAAACTGCTGTTCAATGGTAAATAAAACTCAGTATGCACCCTTTAGTGATTCAGATTTTTTCAGCATCCCAACTATATTAAAATATTCCACTTATTTAAAAAAAAAAACTCATGTTAAAAGCAATGTTCCAAATGACGAGATCACAAAAGCAATCAATGGGGCTGGAAAGAAGACTCGGTGGGTAAGAGCACTGGCTGCTCTTCCAGAGGACCGGGTTCAGCGGCAGCTCACAACTATCTGTAACTCCCATTCAGAGGACCCGAAGCCCTCTTTTAACCTCTGGGTCCACCAGGCATGATGTGGTGCAGAAACACACACATAAGCAAAATACCCATATATAAAAATAATTTTTAATGTAACCAAATACAACAGCCTCTGCTCTCTAGTTAAGTTTTACTTTGCTACACATATAATTTCAGTTTATCATTAAATAATTAGCATAAAATAATTGTCTTCAGGGGCTGGAGAGATGGCTCAGCTGTTAAGAGCACTGGCTGCTCTTCCAGAGGATCTGAGTTCAGTTCCCAGCACCCAGGTAGCCAGAACCGTCTGTAACTACGTATCTAGGGAATCTGACCCCCTTTTCCAGACTCCACAGGTTTAAGACACAAATGTTCTGACTTACAGACATGGAGGCAAAACATTCATACACATTAAATAAAGAAACAAATCTTAAAAAATAAATGTCTTCAGTCTTTGGAGACTGTTATTCCTGCCTCAAATCAAATGAAGAATTTCTTTATGTACTAACTAGATCTATTTTCAACAAATATTTACTGGATACTTGTGTCGGGCAATAAACTTGATCCTATGGACTACTGAGATTAATTCTTGGATCTCCACCTTTTGTCTCAATCTACAAATGCCGGTTCTAGCATCCTTTTATTTGTATGTCCACTATCTCGCATAATGCCTAGATGTTAGTAAAAACTCAGCATTTAATGAACTGTGTAACGGCACAAAAGACGAAGAGATGGGTAGAACACAAAAGCAGTAGTTCCTCCCTTGGAACAGCTTCCCTGGCCAACTTAGGCCACCAAAGTTAGAACGAGATTAGAATTTTTCACTGACGCCAAAAGAGTAACAGCAAAATACCGAAAACTTTAGAACATATGTCTATCTAATAATGCTTCTCTTGGATAAATAGACAAATCTCATGCTACCCAAAAAGGATGATAAACAATGACAAAAGTGAGTGAGATTCGAAGGCCTTTCGGTAAATGTTATAAAAATGGGAAACTGACAGATTTACAAGCCAGCGATTTGCCCTATGACATTAGGTTTCGGGCCAACTGTTAACAGAGTCAGTATTAAGAAACAACAGGGGATGGGGATACAGCTCTCGGGTGGGGAGCTTGCCTAGTGTTGGAAGTCCCTGGATTCCATTTGTAATGGGAGAGAGGGAACTGGAAGGAATGGGGGCCCGACGACACATCAAACCAGAAAAGGGGAACAAAGAGAGGAAAAGGTTTTCACATGCATGCTGAGAGAAGCATTTTGGCTTGGTCTTAGTGGAATGATCTATGAGTGAGAACAACTGACAATACAATCTGTGCGCCCACACGCTTGGACGTGCACGTTTGGCTACTCTAATTCCCCATATGTCGGGGGTATTGTTCCTTTCTTGAAAGTCCCAAGCAAACATCCTGTCTGCTGCAGCCTTTTCTGGGTGCCACAAATCCTTCAGTTATTGCTGTGTTGTTGTTGTTTTTTTTTAAAAAAGAGGAACATCAACAAGTATTTAGGAGGGGCCTACAAAGAACTTTTCACCCCTAGCCGCAGCCCACGATCCTCCCACGGAAGGGCCGGACGAGCGCCGCCCAGCTGAGCCGTGCAGGGGCTGCGAGCCACGCCCGGATGCGCGGCTGCCAGGACCCGGGCGCCCGGCTCGCGGGCGAAGGGTGGAGACAGGGTGCGGCCCGGCCTCACCTCCACCGCCTGGCCCAGCTCCAGGTCGAAGCCCACCACACACACGCAGTGTAGCCAGGCCGAGAAACCGTCCCAGCGCAGCAGGCCCCGGCGGCCATCGTCCTCCTCATCGTCCTCCAGCGCGACTCCCGCCGCCGCAAAGGCAGCCGCCTCGCGCCCCTCGGCCCCGGCCTCGTCCAACGACCCGCGGGAACCGGGTCCGAAGACCTCCGGGCCCCGCAGTGCCATCCGCCACCCCCTATCAGCTCCGGCCGTCTCCACCGCGGACCGCGCCGCAGAGCGCGCAGGCCCCCGCGCACGCGCACCAAGGGCTGCCGCGGACCGACGCTCCGGAGCCGCCGGATAGGGGCGAGGCCGCGAGCCACGTGACCCTGGGAGCGCCGCTCGCTGCCTTTCCCTACGCCCGCCGCTCCTCCCGGGACTGGGAGGCGGTGTGGCCTCCTGGTATTGCACCTCTTTAAAATGAAACAGTGGCTCAGGAGTCGTCTCCTCGCCTCCACAACAACAACGAAGCGATGAATTGTTTCTTGGAATGTCACTCAAACATAATGGTAACAGTAACGAGTGTCTATTAAACTCTTCCTCTGTGCCAGTGGATGAGCCAAGTTCAAATACAAGTATTAAGCTATTGAACGTATCATCGTGAGTAGGCGGACATTATATTTCTATCTTGTTTGTTAATGTTGGGTAGGTCTTTTTTTTTTTTTTTTTTAAGCTTTGTCCTATGTAGTCCCAGCTGGCCTCTACCTTGTGGTACTCCTGCCTTAGTCTCCCAAGATGCTGGGTTTAGTGGCATGGGCCACCACATCTGGCTAATTTATTTCTCTTCACCGATAAGGAAACTGAAGTTCTGAGAGGCTACATGACTAGTCCCAAAAGCATAAGAACTCTAATGCAAGCATGAGTTCACTCCTGCAGTTCGCTGATAAAGAGATGTGTACTTTCACTCGGGCTGGACCTGTTCTACCAAGGCAACTCCCATCTTTATTGGTCTGTCTGACTCACTCAGCTCTCCTACATCTCCAGACTTTCTTGGAAACCCAAGTTGGTCAAGTCACCTTTGGACCATGCTCTCTGAGCACTGGAGAAAGGTGACAGTTTGAAACTACTTTGTCAGAGTCCAGTCAACACTAGACTGGGCACTCAGGAGGCACCTGCCCTGTTCAATTGCTGTGGACTATTGGCACAGCACGATACCACTTAATAGGATTTATTCAGTATCTACCAGGATTTATCCATCGAAAGCCATTAGAAAACACAGTAATACCCAATAAGAAAGTGTATAGAAGACAATTTATGACACAGTGTGTGTTTCAAAAACAGCCTACCTAGTATTTGTGCTTTTGCACTCATTCCCATTCCTGAGCCTCTGGACAACCTCAAAAGACAGTGCTAGCATTGTTTCCATTTTACATAGAACAAAATGGGGCTCCAAGTGATAATGCTGTCAGAGCTAGTAAGGTGGCGGAACAGATTCAAACCCGGCTCTTTCTGATGGATAAGAATCTCACTACAGAAGGATGGAGAGTGGCTGGGAGCACTTGCTGCTTTTTGCAGAGGACCCATGTTCAGTTCCCAGCACCCACATGGCGGCTCATAGTTATCTGTAACCCCAGTTCCGGGGGATCTGATGCCCTCTTCTCATTTCCGACGATACCAGGAACACATGTGGTACACAGACACGAATGCAGGCAAAACATTTAAACCCAAAAATACTTTACCATCAAGGATATATGGCCAAGTATTCTCAGACATCAGTAGTAGTGTATGCTGAAGACTTTTTTAAAAGATTCATTTATTATTTTTATTTTATATGTATGACTGTTTTGCGTTTTTATGTATGTATGTGTACTGAAGTGGAGTTTGGTGCCCACTAAGGCCAGAAGAGGGTGCCAGATCCTCTGGAACCAGGGTTAAAGAGGGTTGCAAGTCGGTACCGAGAGCCAGTCCTTACTCTTCTGCAAGAACAGCAAGTGTTCTGAATTGCTGAGCCATCTATCTCCCTATCCCCACCTGGAAACTTTCTATAGCACACATCATGAACTAGGAACAACATTTACATTAGAAGCTGTCTTTGACTAAAACAACCTTCCTGTTACATAGAACCAGTATAGTTCAGAAAGAAAAACATTATCTGCATTCAAGGAAGGTTCTAAACTCACTGTCTGGAGAAAACAGTACTGTCTTGTATTAGAAAGAAGAGTAGGCTAGAAATAAAAACAAAATGTCTGTGGTTCACTGGTAGTTCCATCCATTATCATGGTAGCAAGCAGCTCCAAGAACTAGTTTCTGGACTGGTAAATGAAAATGATAATGTCTAACCTGCCTCCCTGACCACTAAGAAGAGACAAATGGCCCTAATTCCATACACTTTACTGTATGCTACTTTACTATTAATGATTAATACGCTCTAATGACCAGCTGATCCACAGTGCTGGATCTTTGACCTGTGGGCACAAACTACCATTCTTTGAAATACTACCTTTGTTTGTTTGTCTATCTGAGACAGGGTTTCTCTGTGTAACAGCCCTGGCTGTCCTGGAACTAGCTCTGTAGACCAGGATGCCCTTGAACTCAGATATCCTGCCTCTGCCTCCAGAGTGCTGGGATTAAAGGTGTGCACCACCGCTCCTGGCAGAAACACTGTCTTATATAATATTTGGTTAAGGACATCTTGTCCAAATGGTGCATTCTGAAAACCACTTATTAAGACAGCCATAGGTCTGATGAGAAATTAGGGACAGCGAGCATCTGGGTTTTGTGACAAAAACATACATTAATAGTACTACTTCTTAAACCTTTATACTAAAAGTGCTATAAACACCAGGAAAAACTGGAAGTGGGTATGGGTTTGTGTTCTCTCCATACTTATAACTTTGATACTCTCCCTGGTGTGTAGCTAGAGTTTATCTCTCCGGGTCCCACCAAGTCCCGGCAGTCCGAGAGCCCACTTATAAAATAAACACACAGAGGCTTATATTATTTAAACTGTTTGGCCTAATGGCTCAGGCTTCTTGCTAACTGTTCTTATATCTTAAATTAACCCATATCTATTAGTCTATAAGTTGCCATGTGGCTCGTGGCTTACCAGTACCTTACATCTCACTTTTCATGGCGGCGGCTGGCAGCATCTCCCTGCCTCAGCCTTCCACTTCCCAGAATTCTCCTCTCTCCTTGTCCTGCCTATACTTCCTGCCTGGCTACTGGTCAATCAGTGTTTTATTTATTAACCAATCAGAGCAACACATTTAACATACAGAACATCCCACAGCACTTCCCCCTTTCTTTTTTTTTCAGAAAGGAAGGTTTTAACTTTCACATAGTAAAATTACAGATAACAAAACAATTATCAAGCAAGAATTACAGTTACACTGTCTAGTCTATTTATAATAACTAGTCTATTTGTATTTGGCAAAATTAAAGAAGATATCCTATCTATCTTTTATTTGTGAATCCAAGGTTTCATATCTAACTTATCTTTTATCATAACTAAAGAAAATTATAACTATCTAGTCTTCAACTACATCGAAGGCCCCAGAAGGATATAATATTACCTGAGAAATGGGAGAAGGATGCAAGCAACTTTTGGGAGTCTTGCAGGGTAGACAGAAACAGCTGGCAGCCTGGACTGTAGCATGAATCTTAGAGAGTCTTATTAATAAAATCAAACCCGAGGCCAGTTATTGGGGTCAATGCTGGTAGATCAGAGAGACAGAACAAGCCACAGCTATCTCACCTTGCCAATTCCTCAGCTGGTCTTGTCTCCTCAGACTGAAGGCTTCTGTGTCCTCATCCCAATGGCTCTCAGCTGAACTGCTGCTCGAAGCCTGAATACTTAACCAGCCAAATGCTTCTAGTTTCTAGTCCTCACGCCTTATAAATCTTTCTGCTTTCTACCACCACTCCCTGGGATTAAAGGCTGCTTTCTGGGATTAAAGGCTTGAGTCACCATACCTGGCTGTTTCCAATGCAGCCTTGAACTCACAGAGATCCAGAGGGATTTCTGTCTCTGGAATGCTAGGATTAAAGGCGTGTGCTATCACTGCCTATCTTAAGTACTTAGTGGCTTTTCTGTTCTCTGACCCCAGATAAGTTTATTAAGGTACACAATATTTTGGGGAATACAATACCACCACACTGGACAGTCACCTAACGTTCCTTTGTAAAGTTGAAGCATCTGTTTTCAGCCCACAGGCCTAGAGTCTCCCAGTCATTTCTCTCTGTGTCCTGTAGAAAGTCTGGCAGTTTCCTCTGCAAAGCAGGAACCTGAAGGACCATTTTGCCAAACAAAGTTCAGTGGTCACCTTCCTATGGGTCCTGCATGTCCAGTTGATCAAGCAGTCCAGGCAAGAACAGTGTCTTGCCCAAATGACTATTTTTGCCAAGGTGAAGATAAACTCCATATGGAGTGTCTTCGATGCCCATCCTCCTTTCTGAAGTAAATCACTGCTGCCAGGAGCAGACATGTCTCATTGTCCAGAAAGTCTAAATTTTTTTAAACATTTTAAATGCCATATTCTGTAGGCCTTTGAAGTATTTGAAGATTACCTATCTATCTGAAATATATCTATGTATACCTAGAAGACTTGACTAACATGGCTATAAGTATGACTATCATAGATGACTAATTATTAATCTATTTCTTAATTATTCATTACAATTTTAAATGAGCTGTACAAACGTAATACCTTAAACAAGAGTAGAAATATACATACAGAATAACAAAATTAACTTTAAATTTATATCAATAGACTAAAATCTATAGCAATGTATAACATTTTTAAACAAGTTGTTACTCTTTAAAAGTAGGTTCAACAATCTACCCTTTTATCCTATCATATCTATGTCCTATATATCTATATCATATCCCTCCAGCAGGAAGTAGTAAGAGAAGCTACACCCAAATTCCCAAATATACCAAGCTGGTTTTGGAGATGGAATTGGCTCACTCCTTCTCTAAACCCAAGTATATTGAAAAAAAAAAAAAAGAGAGAGAGAGAGGTTGAGAGATTCTTGTGTCCCATATCAGAAGAGTCCTCTGGTGTGGGACAGAGAAAAACCAATATTTTTATTTAAAGCAGGTTGATTATAAATACAATGTCTTTCTAAAGAAGAAAAGGGGAGGGTTGGGGATTTAGCTCAGTGGTAAAGCACTTGCCTAGCAAGCACAAGGCCCTGGGTTCCGTCCTCAGCTCAGAAAGAAGAAAAGGAGATATAGATATGAGATAGTGTAACTATAATTCTTTTTTTTTCTTTTTTTTTTATTTATTTTGCAATACAATTCAGTTCTACATATCAGCCACGGATTCCCT